AGAAACAACGATGAAACCTCACAAGAAACAACGATGAAACCTCACAAAAAGTGTAGAACTCATAATGCTTAAAAAATAGATTCTCTCTAATAAAACAGTGGAAAATTGTCTATGGAGAATTTTTCTTCTACCGAGCAATAAAAAACACCTCCTTCAATCTCTATAAAAAACACCTCCTTCAATCTCTATAAAAAACACCTTCTCCCATTTATTATTGAAATATTAGAACATTATTCTACAATCGATCTTCATATGAATTTCCTTAATAAAAAAATGTGTTATCTTTGAAAAGCATTCTTCAGTAGTTTTCGAAACCTATCTTTAATGTATATATAAATGTAATGTAAGTCTATCTCTATATGAAAGTTTTCTTTCTTGAATTATCGGAAAAATATTCTTGAATAAAAAATCAGCTTTCTTTAATTATCGAGAAAAATATCCTTTAATATATATATACTGTAAGTCTGTCTCTATATGAAAAAATATTCTTTAATATGTGTAGATATATATATTGTAAGTCTATCTCTATATGAAAATTTACCTTCCTTGATTATTGAGAAAACGTTCTTTAATATGTGTATACATATTGTAAGTCTATCTCTATATGGATTTTTCCCTTTTAATTGAGTAACATTGAAATAAAAATTTCAAAGCTATCAGTGCATGAATCTTAATTATGATTATAATTAAAAAAGAAAAAATTACCCTTTCATGAGCTTGCATGACCTATCTCTGTCTACTGTCTGCTTATACATCCTTTAATATCGTTTCATGACCTATCTCTCTCTACTTATATACTCTTTCCAATCAAATGTTGTGTAAGATAAAACGTAAGAAAAAACGTTCTTTAATCTATCTCAATCTATGTATGTACTCTTTCCTATTAAATATTGTATATATATAAAACATTCTTCAATCTATCTCTATCTATGATTGTAAAAACATCTCTTACTTGTCGTAGCTCTTATTTATAGTAAAAACACTTCAACGTTATATTTTTTTCTTCGTCACTCTATCTGGCTTATTTATTGTAAATGATGTCTCTCCCTACATTCATCCCAATTGTTGTAGAAATATCTCTCCCATAATCCATATCCTTATCTATTGTAAAAATAATACTTCTCCCTTTACTAAACACACCAACTCACCATACTTGACTTAAAAATATAAAATATGAAAGATACATTATGAAAAATTATCAAAAATGCAATAATATAAAAAAACACATTATTAGAATTATCAAAACGTATTAAAAAAGATTAATAAAAAACATCAACAAAATGCAGTATTAAACACTATTAAAATTAATAGAAAAGATTATTAAAAAACTAACAAAAAACTTTATGATGATTACAAACAAAATAACAAACAAGAATTATTAAGAATTATCAATAAGAACCTATTATAAAAAATTATCAAAAAGCAATTATAAAAAACAATCATTAAAAGCAACTATTGAAAACAGTCATTGAAAAAATAATTTAATACATTAAAATGCACTATTGGAATTGGAAAAATTGTTTTTAATGAAAAATTGTCTAATGCATTAGAATGCATTATTTTTAATGAAAAATTATCTAATGCATTAAAATGCATTAATTAGAAAAAATCTTTAATGATAAAAGTGTTTAATGCATTAGAATGCAATATTAGAATTAGAAAATTTCTAATACAATAAAAAGCATTACTGAATGTTGAAAATTTTAATCCATAAAAAATGCACTAGACAACATTATTGAACAACAATGCATTAGGATACATTATTTAAACAAGTCCGTCAAGTGTGCGAAAAAAGACCACTATAATACCACCATAAAAAATTGAACTTGTTGTCGTTCATCCCCAAGTAACTCTAAAAATATCGCTTGAAAAAGAAGCATTCGAAAGGCCTCGCGTAAAATAATACAAAAACATTACCTGTCTATTTTTTTTTTTTGTTTATTTATTTGTTCCCTCTTGTTGGTCTTTATTTTTCTCTTTTTTTCTCTTTTTTCTCTTGTTATTCTACTTATCTCTTTGAAAAGTTCAAAAAGAAAAAAAAAAAACAAAAACACTAAAAATAATTAAAAAAATAATAAAAAATAAAAACTACTCAAAAATTTACATGTTGATTTGCTTTATTGAATGAATCGACAATTGATAAAATTTTATCCCCACAAATTAAAACATCCAAATC